TTCAGTAAATAACTTGATTTTGACACAATAGTAACGTTTCAAACTCCAATTTACAACTAAAGCGAAAAATTAACCAGAAAACCTGGCAAGTAAGTGGTACCAAAAAAACGCAACATAAAAAATTTATCTTTTTTGCGTTAGTAGTGATAGGTACAGTTTCAAATTCTTTATTTTATTCTGTGCAAATTCATGGAGGATAACACTGAAGATAATTAAATTTATTTCACTTGTTAAGTAGGTGTTTTATACAACCCTAAAAACCTTGCTATTGAAAAAATAAAACTTGTTTATTTGGTATGGTTTGATTCGGTTTCCTATAAACTTTTCAACGAGCCCCCTCATGCCTTATGTTTTCATTTGAAAAGAAAAGTAGAAAAATTAATTATTATCAAACCGAAAGATGAGAAAAAATCAAAATCAGTTAACGTGTTTCGGCGTTTTAAAAAAATTAACTCATTAAAAAGATACGAATTTTATTCCGTATTTCTGGCCATCCCTGTATATTCATCACAGTTTCGAAAAATTTCTCGGAATTCCCCCCACGAAGCTACAGTTGCCGCCAAAAGTACGAAACCGCCACCGACTGCACAGAAAAGCACAAGAATTTTTACGTATGTTTCGAAGATTTTCCTCAATTCCACTACAAAGCCATGATTGGCGCTGACCACGCATGCCCATCATCGCCCAGGAGCCGCCGATAGCGCAAAAAGAAACACGTAAATCTTCACCCCTCTTTCGAGGTCCAAAAAAATTCGAGAGTCACAATTTATCAAAATAAGTTTCATCACAACAACCCTTTGGAGACACCCACAATCTACAGAGGGACGTTCTTCAGTCGTGGACTTTGCTACAGGACACCCCACAGAGCCAACGTGGTGTGAGATCAATCGTCAACCCAGAGACGATGCAGTTCTATAACCAGTGTCGCATCCTGGCCAGCGCTAGTAGTACACTCGAAATTATTCATGCTTTTGTCTTATATACAAATGTTACATACCATTTATTGTTAATTAGCCTTAAAATTGCAATAGCACAATTAAAAAATAAAAAAAGTTAAAATTTCTGTAAAAAATGCACAGCTAGGGAAGCTCATGTAGCACATACCACCCAAACTTTGTTCACTTGAGGTGAAGATCCTAAGGCATACAAGCTCCTAAAGCTTCCACACACGTAAATCAAGCTTCTAAAGCTTCCATATAGGCATTCTAAGGCGGCCACACACGTATAAACTTTAGTGCCCTAGTCCAGCACGCAAAGACGGTGAATTAAAGATGCAAGAGTACCTTACTCGACAGTGCTCACATAAAATACGGTGTTCAGTGCAAAAAGGTTAAGCCGAAAACCTAATATAAACAAAAACCCATAAAATTCATGCTTAGTTGTATTACGAAACTTTATATTTAAGAAAATTTGATAAATAACTGCGAAGCTTGTTGTAATTAATGAAACATCTTGAAAATCCTGTGAATTTAAGAAAAAATATGTGCCAAAATATTATGACTCAAGTGTTAAGTATGATGTTAAGTAAAAAGCGATATGGATATGCCAAGAAATGAATAATATTTGCCTCTTGAAGTTGAATGACTTCAACATATGGTCCTATGTTAAAAAAAAAACATTGAAAAAAAAATATAATAATATTACTAAACCTGGTGTCCTATATTTATACAAGAAAACCCTTATAAATAATTTGTTTTAATAAAGATAAATTAATGTTACTTTACTTGATGACGTATTAGTATATCTAATTATGATGTATATTTAAGGTTATTTTAACAAGGGGTATTCAGAGGACTTGTAGCAGAGAAGTACCAGATTTTACAGTACAAGATATAGAAGACAAATGGTATGTGGTTGTCATTAATTTTTGATAGCAAGATACTCAGAGCACATTTATTATTTCAGAAATATTTCATATTATTTCACCTCCATTTGATTTTTCTACTTGTGGAATTGGAACACCTTGTATATATGCTATTTTTTCCGTTACGTGATGTAATTCTACGACATCTATAGTTTTGTAAAGTTACTATGACTTTCGTAAACTTAATACTTCAATGTCGTAAAACTAACTAGATCTTCCAGTTAATAAATATTGATTCAGAAATGACGAGGCACAATACTTGTTTTATTAATATCTTACTTTCGTCGTTCAATAAACAAACGATTAGTCGCAACAATGAAACGTTTAGAAAAATAATGAATTTACTTTCGCTTCACACATGACATGAAAGCGAACAATTAGCATTTTGATAACTGGGATCTACATCAGAAAAGCGCCAACTGACGCTTTAACAAAATATATTCAAGAATACTAAATGTGAAATTATTGTATGCACTGTACTTCTAGTACGTACTTAACCTTACACTTTTAACTTACTTGATTTATCGTTAAATGTTTATATTTAATCAAATTAATCACTATTACGATTAAAGAAAGTTGTTTCTATCTATTTACCAGCTTACAGGTTGCTGCAGTTGAAAAGATTACAGTTAATTGGACAAATGTTATTAGATAAATCTTTATACATGCATTTTTCTAAAATAAAATTATTTTAAACAATTCTTGCTGAGGTATTCTTTGAAATGGTTATAAAATCATCAATTTCAATTGTTGTTTATTTATCAATTTTCGACACGGTAATTGTTCAAAAAAATTAGTCAACAAGCTGTCAAAATTCGTTTAATTTTTCATTTCTTTTTAAACATTACTATAAATCGCCCAATTTATTGGCCAAATTCTAGCTACCTACTTTTAAAATAAAAATTAGTTATTATAATACCAAACAACAAAACGTAAACATGTCTCGTAAGCTATTCTCTTAATATTTGAAATAAAAACAATCGTCAAAGTTGTGGAACCTGACTGAAATTGAATACAGTAAACAGTACAATCGAATACATACAACCATTTTCTTGGCCAATGTAATGAAGCAAAGAAATTTACACTAACTTATACACTTTATATTAGTCCAATTAAATGAGCCTTTAAATCACAATTTGGTCGACTTGCCTGAATTTTTAATATAAGTTAGTTTGCGGTATATAATAACAATAAGTGACAGTAATTTTTTTTCAACCCTCGGCTAGGGATGAAAAAAGATAAAATAAAGGTTTTTTTCCAAATAACTTAAAAGGGGTAAGAGCTTATAAAAGTTGTAGAGCATAAAATTCTACATAAAAATGATATATGGACTTTTTCTTGTACTGTTAAAATTAACAGAGTTAGGGTGGCTATAAGTTAAGGGATGAATTCAGAAATTTAAAAAATGATAACAAGCAGAAAAATGAATTAATTTTATATATATTTTTTTCAATCTACTCTAAAAAATGTAAGCTTTCTTTTCAGAAAAATAGATATATTTTTTAATTTTTAATTAAAAAGTTACAACAATTTCAATTTTTTAATCGTTAATTTTTATCATTTAACACTAAAACTATTTTTTTTTCTATGCCAATCGATTGATTATTTAAAATAATGAATAGTTGCTTTGGAAATTTTGTTTTACGATAAAAATAAAGATAAAAATCACGTTCGTTTTGCGAAATTGTTATAACTTTTTTATTAAAAATTAAAAAATATGTCTATTTCTCTGAAAAGGTAGTTTACATTTTTTAGAGTAGATTGAACAAAAAAAAATTTAAATTCATTAATTTTTCTGCTTGTTACGATTTTTTAAATTTCTGAAATCATCCCTTAACTTCTAGTCTCCCGAACGCTGTTAATTTTAATAGTACAAGGAAAAGTCAATAGACCATTTTTATGTTTAATTTTTTGCTCTACAATTTTTATAAGAAACTTTTTTTCCATCTCTTACCCCTTTTGAGTTATATTGAAAATGCCCTTTATTTTGTCTTTTTTCACCCCTGGCCGGGGGTTGAACAAAAAATTACTGTAAGTTGTTATTATCATATATCTCAAACTAACTTATATCAAAAGTTCAGGCAGGTTGACCAAAATTGCGATTTAAAGACCCATTTAATTGGACTGATATGTATCTTTTAAAAATATAATTTTTTTAGCCTCCACATTTTTTACTCTATTATAAGGTATTCATCTAATTTAAATAAATTCCAGAATTTTTATGTGAAAAAATTTTATCTAATGAAGTTAAACAGTGATTTTTGAGTTCAATATATCAAGTAAATGTATTTATACAATATTTAGATATTTCTAATTTTTATTTTCGATAATTATTAATTACTAGCTTTGTACTAGACGTTGTTGGTGTAATTCAACGCTAATTGAGACATATCAACAGTTAGGAATCTTGTCTGAGGTTAGATATCTTTTTTATACCTAGATTTTTGGTAACAAACACTGTTTGCTTCATTTAATAGAAACTTTGAAATACGCGTAGTAGTATAATTAGAGCAAAAATTAGCAAATATTTTAATAGAATTCGAATACATCTTTTTTTTATAAATATACCTTTTTGGAAATTCCTTTTTTTCGTGAGATTTTTAGTCCGTCTGGATAATATTATTATTTTCCTTTTGCGTGAAAATAATAATTTATCTTATTCTCTTTATGTATACAGGGTGTTTATTAAGTACTTGTACAAACATTAAAGGGCCAATTCACCATTTAAAGCTTATACAAGTACTTAATAAACACCCTGTATATTTATGGAGTATTTAATACAAATAAACATTATATTATATATCAGTGAAAAAAATATTTTATCTTTTCATTATGAGATTTAGAAAAGAAGCTACTAAATTGCTTTTGGTTATCTAAGAAAACAATAAAATATTAGTGTCATGTAGAGTCAGAAAAAAGTAAATTTGGCGTAATTTTAAAATGATAATACTTATTTAGATCACGCTATATATTAAGAAATTTATCTCTTCACTACTAACCGTTGGATCAAATTGGTATTTTAAAAACTAAATGTAGTAACACAGTTAAAGAAAAGTTGAATGGTTTAGTATAAAATCGCGATTCACTTACACTTAAAACATGACGCGTCGTAAATCCACAGAAAAGGGCAACGAACACAAACTTGTAGCAAGACATGTCTGTAGAGAAAAAAACTATCACAATACTAAAATCACCCTGGGATGAGCACAATGAGCACTGCGACGCAATGAATCCTGTAATTGGAACCACCGTTTTATATGTAGAGATGGTTTGCAAGATTAGGTAAGATTTCCTCCTGCATTGCGATAAATCGCCCATTCTCAGACTTTCAGATGCAGGCCGGCGCTGTGGAGAGGGTGGTTTCATGATGGACGTAACACCTGAAGCCGCTAATTTATGTGAAACGCCGACAGGTTATTTAGAAATATATTTTAAACCGCTTATCTCGAATCTGGTTCATGCATACGGTACGTACCAGTAATTCACATAACATTCTATCCCTTACATCTTTTTTACTATTCTACAGGGTGTTTCATAATGATTTGTACATAGAGCAACAGGTGATTTGTAACGTCATAATAATGTGATCTGGAAAATCCTACCTTAATCCAAAAGTTAATAGTAACCGAGTTACAGGTTTTTTTTGGAAGGTTATGGACAACCAAAAAGTGCTAGGAAAAATAGAAAAATATTTTTTTTCTATATTCAAATATTTATTTATATAGTTAAGACCCCGCCGAACATAAATTAGGGGCCAGAATTGATGGTTCTATTTCTAACCTCAAAAAAAAACGGGTCAATTAAGGTCAAATACCACAAATTTTTAAAAAATAACAAATTCGCGCCAAATTTGGTATACGGGGGTTTTCGGGGTCGCTGATCACGGATCCGAGGTCAATTTTGCAAAATTCAAGATGGCGGATCCAAGATGGCTGACCAAATTTTCAAAAATAACAGATTCGCATCAAATTTTGTGTAAGGGGGTTTTCGGGGTCGCTGATGACGAATTCAAGGTCAATTCTGCAAAATTCAAGATGGCGGCCAACCATCCAAGATGGCTGACCAAATTTTCAAAAATAACAGATTCGCATCAAATTTTGTGTAAGGGGGTTTTCGGGGTCGCTGATGACGAATTCAAGGTCAATTCTGCAAAATTCAAGATGGCGGCCAACCAAATTTTCAAAAAATAACACAATCGCGCCAAATTTGGTATACGGGGGTTTTCGAGGTCACTGATCATGAATTCGATTTATAAAATTCAACCCGTGAATAGATATTTTACAGAAAAAAAAACAAGATATAGCCGAAAAAAAGTAGATTGTTTTGCATGATTGGGTACTCAGGTTATAAAGTAAAATATTACAAAATGAATTTCGCAATTCTGACCTCGAATACGTAATCAGCGATCCCGAAAACTCCCGTATACCAAATTTGCTCTCTTTGCGATTCTATTATTATTTGAAAATTTGGTCAGCCATTTTGGATCCGCCATCTTGAATTTTGCAAAATTGACTTCGGATCCGTAGTTAGCGTTTACGTCCGTTTTTAGCAATAAAATTCTAATACTTCATATTAGGGATATTTTAAGAAAAAAAATATTTTTACCAAACTGGATCCAGGACCCCCCAAACCGGGCCAATACCAAACCTTATCAACATTTTTTAAATAATAACCATTTTGTAGCCAAATAAAAAATTCACAAGTCTACTTTTTTTTTCATTAATTTATTGTTGATCCCAAGTTATCCATTAAGCAAAACAAAAAATGAGGTAGTTAGCTAATTGTCAAAAGTAACAAATTAGTGTGTAGTTTATCTCGTGTTAACAATCATGGAAAATATATCATATACCATTAAGAGACAAAATAAAAATTGTATGACTTGTTGGCGATAATGTGAGTTCGTCAATAAATGCTGCAATAGAATATAATACTAGGCATCCAGATTGACGAGTAAGTTGGAGTAGTGGACAGTACATTAATAATGTTTTCAATGGAACAGGCTGTGTTTCAAAAAATTTACTTAAAACTAGACATAATGGACGTCGTAGAATTTTGAGAAATAATAACAATATTTTAGTAAAAATCCTCGGGCTAGTATTAGAGTGGCTAATTTAAATCTTAATATCCCTAGAGAAAGTATCAGAAAGTGCCTGGAAAAAAATAAAATAAAAGCTTATAAACCAAAATTTGTCCATACTTTGGAATTGGGAGATGAAGAAAGACGTTTGGAGTTTTGTTATTGACTAGGGAGAATATTTAAATAATCCTAAACTTTTAAGGGAAATTTTAATTACTGATGAAGCCACATTTATTACAAATGGGATAGCTTCGTCCCAAAATTGTTGGCATTGGTCAGCTGAGAATCCAAAATTCATTATAAACGCTAAGAGGCAGTATTCGCAAAAAGTTTATACGTTTGTTGTGGAATACTAAATTATACAATAATTGGCCCTTTCTTTTTTGATAGCAATTTGAATGCGAATAGATTTTTTAATTTTCTTAATAATGAAATTTGGAATGCATTAGATGATTTGTCTTTAAGAAATCTCCTTAATTTGAAATTAGTTTCAATTAGATGGTAGCCCTATTCATAACGCTGCTGCGGTGAGAGAATGGTTAAAGGAACATTTTGGGAATTGTTGGATATAACGAAATAGTCCTTTAATTGAGTGGCCACCGAGATCCCCGGACTTGACGCCATTAGATCTTTTTCTTTGGGATTTATGAAATAAAATGTTTATAAATTAAGGTCACAATACATGAACTACGCGCTAGGATAATGCAAGCCTGTGCAGAAATTACCCCAAACCAAATACAAAAAGTAATTACAAACGTACGTAAAAGAATTGAGAAATGCATAAAAGTAAATGGTGGATTGATAGAAGTTACAAGAATATTATTATTATAATACCACATTACTAGAGTTTAATTTGTTTGTTTTTGTTTTGCTTCATCGACAACTTGATATCAACAATAAATTAATGAAAGAAAAGTAAAGACTTATGAATTTTTGATTTGGCTACCAAATCGTTATTATTTAAAAAATTTTGATAACATTTGCTATTGGCCCGTTAGAGCAGTTATAAACGGTTGTGTCCCTTTTTATGCTATTAATTATAAGATTTTAAAAGGAATTATGACTTTCGAGATATTTCATTACATGAATCGTTCAAATGGTCATTTTAGATGAAAAAACCGCGGAGTGCTATTAAATTTGAGGGTGGAAATTGGAGATAGGGGTGAAAATGCACCCCTTTCATTTTTTTAATTGTAGCTCGAAAACGAAGCAAAATTTCGCTATAGTTCATAGGAAAAATTATTTAGAGAATTGAATTTCCCATCGAAATGGCATATTTAAAAAATTTGAAAGGAAAATTTTATGCAAAAAATTTCAAAAAAGCAAAAAATTCAATGTTTTGTTTTTTTTTACTTTTTTGCCTCTAGTTTTTTTTTAGTAAAGATAGGTATAGGCATTGTTTCATAGAAGAAAAAAATAGATAAAATTTCCTTCAAAACAAGAGGTTGTAAAGTATTTTTGGATGAGAATTGACTGATATATGGTCGCTCAAACTTTTTTCGATTTTCGTCGCGTTTACCCTNGAATTTTCCATCGAAATGGCTTATTTAAAAAATTTAAAAGAAAAATTTTATGCAAAAACTCGTTAATAAACAATTTGAAAAAAGCAAACAATTGTTTGATTTTTTTCTACTTTTTTTACCCTAATTTATGTTAAAAACGACAGCAATTTTCTTTGCCTACTTCCACTAAAAAAAATTAGAATAAAAAAAGTAAAAAAAAATCTAAAAATCTTATTTTTTAATTTTTTTAAAATTGTTTATTAACGATTTTTTGCATAAAATTTTCCTTTTTAATTTTTAAATAAGCCATTTCGATGGGAAATTAAATTCTCTACAAATTTTTTCCTATGAACTATATCGAAATTTTGCTTTGTTTTCGAGCTACAATTAAAAAACTGAAAGGTGTGCATTTTCACCCCAATCTCCAATTCCACCCTCTAATTTAATAGCACTCTGCGGTTTTTTCATCTAAAATGACCATTTGAACGATTCATGCAACAATTGCTTGAACGTCATAGTTCCTTTTAACGCTGTTTTTTTTTGGATATAGCCTATTTTGTTTGAACAAAATTACATAAAAGAGAACCCGGTCAACAAACAAGCCTGTACCACGTAACATTTTCCATCTCTAAGCACTAGCTTTGTTCCTATAGCAATCTAATACACTTTTTGACAGTCTTATTATTAGTTATTTCCCAAAATGTAACCAATACCTTACCAAAACCATACCTACCTTGATCCATATTTCACAACTATCTTCAAACTTGCAAATAAATTACTTATAATCACCATCAGACAGTTGTAGTCAAACATTTTTAAATAGTAGGTAGTTACTTTCTTTTGTAGCACTTGTAGCACTTGTAGCATGTAATGTACGTAATAGTTCCTTTGATAATACAATAAAATCTGTAGATATATTTGTTTCGCTTTCGGAGTGTTGTTAATTAAATTATAGAACACTTGCGGCGTAATTGAACGAGTGTTAAGCGTTTCATTATCTCAGTAAGCATTGTAATTCAGAAAATAATTAAAATGTTTAATAATACTCAATTGTTTTCCTAGAAGGCAATTAAGTAACTACGATTTAGAGGTAACTCCTGAGAAAACGGTTTGTTTGTTTGTATAAAGAAATAGAAAATATTTGTAAAATATTTTATGAAAATAGTCAATGCATTTATGTTGTTAAAATATTTAATAGCATTATTATTAGCGGCAATTAATTTTTACGTCTTAATTAAATACCTACTTTTGGGTTATCAAATTATTTTGTACAACAGTAGCAGCTTTGTAGGTGTTTTTACGTTGCCTTTTAGTGAACCCTATTTCTGTCCAAGAGACCAATTTTTTTTTAAGTACTAGTGAAATAGAATAATTAAAATTTAAGTAAAGAAATTAATGGTAAAAAAATATCTATTTATTACCTTATTAGTATCTACATTAAAATAAAAAGTTGCATTGTAAAACTGGGTTCTCGTACCAAATCTAAAACAAGGGGCTCATTTTCTTTGTGGGACATCATTTTATTAATATTGTAATAGTAGAGCAAACCGTAGAAGAGATAGCGTTAATTTTTTTCCAAATTTAAATGATTTTTGTTTGATAAAATTAAGAATAGTTTATTAGTTATCACCAATCTTTGGTAATCAATCATTAAATAAATTTGAGATGATTTATAACACTTGATCTCTGGACAATATCTATTCCCATTAAAGATTATTATTCATAGTCATGTCACTGATCCATCTAATATTTTTTTATATAAAAAAATTAAGTTTAAAATTATATTGCAATATCTTTTATTGTACTTTTAAACGAAGGTAACGTAACTGTAATAATGAACTAAATAATCTGAATTATATGTATAAATACATTAATATAACATTTGTTGATTTACCTACTCAATCGAGCACGATTTGATTTATTGAAGAAAACCAAACGAAAGGTCAGCTTTAATTAGACTTTAATGAAATTACAGTAATCTTGGGAAATATACAGAGTGTCTATTTAAGAATGAATTACATTTTTACACTAGATTCTACGCTAAAAATTAATGGGGTAATTTAAAGAAAAATATTGTCGAGTCCAAGAAACAGTGTATTGAGAATAAAAAATTAATCTTCTTTGCTAATACTGGAGACCTATCTACCTGTAACAATCACTGTAATTCTGAAAATGTTTGTATTCCAATATGAAATAATATTCCATTAAAGAAAACGAAAGTTTTATTTTAAAACAAGTAGGTTATTAATAATAATCAATTAATTACCCCATTCTAAAAGTAATGACTTAATACAAACAAATTTATTTTTTTATCTTATCAAGGGAAGTTGAATAATAACTTTTAGATACAATAAATCTAGATAACTAATCCCACAGACAAGATTCCTAACTGCTGATATTGCGGGAAATAACTACTCTATGGGCTAAGTGCGTCAACTAGCATTGAATTATACCAATACTACCTAACAACATGAATAGGTATACTTTCCCAAAGGATTTTGATGTGCTGCATTCGAATCTGAGATCCAAATTTCTCAATTGGCTCTGGTTTTCGAGATATCCTAATCTAAAAGTGCCTCAGCCCGAACCAGATTCAGACGTTTTGTCTTCAACAATTTAAATATATGTGGTACGTGTTTTTGTATCAGTTATACTTTTAGATATATAGTTTTTAGTTTTTATTTTGGATCATTATTTATTGCTAGCTGTTTAGTAGTAGCTCATAGAATAATAATTGTTTTCCGCAATATCAGCAATTAGAAGTTTCTGGCATCGAAGAACATTTTGACTTCATTTGATAAGATATTTTAGAAAAAAAGTTTTGAATTATTTGAATTAGCATAATACCTATTAAAAAATACGAAAACTAATAGTACACCTACTTGTTAAAAAAATAGTAAATTAAACAGCACTGAACGAAAACCGTAATTTTTCTTGAAAACTGCATTTTATGGATATGAAACAAGAGAACTTTTTGTGACTGAAATGTTTGCAAATTCTAAATATGGCTTTTATTATTTTAGCCAGTCTTTTTTTAAAAAATAAGATCTCTTGTGATAACATTTGTACGCCACTGAATTTTCCAACTCAACCAGTATTAACTTGATAAAAGAGGCACATCATTAAGTATAATTTTAACACCCTGTATCTTGGAAACGAGATATATATTTTTATTTGAACTACCTCTATTAAACTCCATCGCAGAGCGTTGTGTTGATATTTTTCTTATTTTGTAGCAAGCACCTTGTTTTAAATAATCAAATTTAAACATAAAGTCTTTTTGAGCAAATTTGGAAAGCTGATAAAAAATACAGAATTATAAGAAATACGTTTTCAATATTTAGCAACAGTGTAAATGTTCAAATAATTCGCTTTTCCAATTTTTATTACCATTGTTTTTTTATCAATGTCAAACATTTTGTTTATTTTTCTTACAAATAAAAGAAAAAATATTTATTAGATAATTAAATATATAAAAAAAAGTCCTTAGGCTCTAGTTCAATTCTACTAACACATTCTATTGTATGACGCACGACCTCTTTTTTCCATCCTTAAGACGGGATTTGGGTTTATAGTTGGCAAGGAAATTCAGCTGTTTTGCGTTGATGGCGCCCCTCCTTTTCCTCCTGATCAAGTCGACTGCGTCTTCATACGTATAACCCAGCTCTATAAGCGCTACAGCCACCAAAACCGGGGCCCTTCCTAATCCTAAAATAGAAAATATGATAATTTTTATCATGAACAGTATTTTTTTTATTTTGAGGATGTCAAGAGTCGTTAGTGTATTCAAGAATGTGCAGTTTTCTTCCAGGAAAATTTAAAAAGTTTTAAAGGGGGAATGCAAGCTCACTAATTGGTGGTCCCCAATGACCCAAACGACTTTTATAGGGGTCACTTTTTCGATATCCTGACCTTCAAATAAACTTGAAAATAAAAAAATAACTCAACTACGTCTCGCTCTGTCAGGATCCGGAACTAGAAATTGTAATAGGTACTTACAAAAAATAAGAGTGTATCCTCAAATAACCTTAAACATAAAATGTCTAGGTCTTTCGTACCATTCCTTGAATATGACAATAAGGAATTATTTCAAAAACTATTTATATTACCATATTCATATTACATTCCGAAGTTAGTAACAATAAATCAAATAGCAACAACAAATTTTCCAAATGATTCTGTCAAATGCTGACAACGAAGGTGAAAACTGAAGTAACTAACAGCTACTATCAACGTCAAAATAATTTTACGTTTCAGTGACAAAAAGATCTCAAGACGATGGTGATCAATAGAACCAATGCAGTTCAAAACGTAAGAAGTTGCTCCAAGATCAGCTTTTGGAACAGAGAATCTCTGGATACATCCACTTTTTCCAAAAAATTATGATTTTCTCCCTTTATATAGTAAGTTCCATTACAGTTAACATAAAAACTTTTAGTTAAAGCGATGTTCACCCACCTGCAACGCAGTGTATCGCTATGCCATCATCAGGACTGTCACAAAACTGTTTCTTGATGATGTTGAAGAAAATGCTCAACATCTCTTCACTAGGAGAAGCTCCGTCCTCAATGGTCAGATCGTACACTTGAATCCCGGCTTTGAATAGAGGTTTTGTGTCGTAAGAAGGTTTGCACGCCCTTATGACTACACCGACGTTGCGTTTTTTCAATTCTTTTATGTAGGAATTGACGGATTTGTTTACTGGGTTTTTGGATATTATGAACCTAAATCCTTTGTGGCTTATTTCTACGAAGTCGTCCATTGTAAGAGGGCACAGATCCTGTAACATAAAGTGTGATAATGTCAGAGTTACGCCCTTTTTGTTATCCAACCTTTTTTTAAGAGGAAGAGGTCCTAAGTACCAAAATAGAATTTTGACTTTGACAACCTAACCTTACCTTTGCTACAATGACTTCAAAAGATTAAGTTTAGGCATATAGTTAATTTGACTAAAGTGAGTGTTTTTTGTTATTTAATAGGTTAGATTGCCAAAATGCTATTAAAAAATGTGTTAATATTAAAAAAAAATAAAAAAGTTGAATAAAGTTGGTGAGGATGTAATGTAAATTAGTATTACTGATATAGTCATATCCAAACTTGATATTTCTTACTAGTACTCAATGAAACGTGGTAAGTTTTGTTATACTTACTGGTTGCTATGGGTACGTTGTTTATTATCAATAAACAGACTATCTGAATTTGGTAAAAGTGCAAGAAAGTAATTGTGTTCCTGTGACTGTTTTTGAAAAAGCTCAAGAAGCAATTTTCCATTTAGTGCCAGCAAAATCCAGGGAACATTACGAAAAAGTGTTGGCCGATTTTAACGAATGGAGGGAAAAACTGAGGATAATGACAATAAATTAAGTCATGCTACCGTATTTATTAAATTTGTAGAAAAAATATGCAGTTTCATCTATGTGGTCGAAGTATTCGATGTTGAAGGCTACTATAAATAGAGGTCTACAAAAAGATAGATATTCGAAAATACAGGGTGTTAAAAAAAGAGTGTAAAATATTTAAGAAGGTAATAGTATGAACCAAAATAAGCAGAAAAGTCTCAATAAACATGGGTCCGCAAAGTAACGGTTGCGGAGATATGGAATGTTTTATGTATTTTAGCCCCTTTTCTTATTTTGCAAAAACGTTGTGTATTTTCTTATAATAGTTGGTTGATGTTTAGTGAAATAAACAGTACGTATTTGACAGTTGTTCTCAGTGCACAAGTTTTCTTTCGCTATGGCTGGTTACTCTAACGCAGAATTAACAGACATGCATTTCATGTATGGTCGTGCTAATGGGAACGCCACCGAAGCGCGACGTCTTTATGTTGACGCTTATCCAAATCGCCAGATTCCTTCACAACGCATGTTTGGAAGAATTCACCAAAGATTGCGTGATACCGGTTCCTTGAGCAAACAGTGCCATTTATCCGGAAGACCAAGGTCGGTATCCACTCCTAGAGCAGAAGAAGAAATTCTAGCACTGGTAGAGCAGAATCCAGGTACGAGTGTGCGGAGAATATCAGCCGAGGTAGGAATTAGTGGTCCTCTTGTTTGGAGAATCCTTCACGAGCAACTGCTTTATCCATACCATGTGCAACGAGTACAGGCCTTAAATCCAATAAATGATCATCAAGCACGTTTGGTTTTTTGCCGCTGGTTTCTACGTCATGATGCTGAAGACCCTCGTTTTCTTGCAAACATTCTTTTTACTGATGAGGCCGGGTTCACAAGAAATGGAGTGTTTAATTTTCACAATACGCATATTTGGGCCGACGAAAATCCTCATGCTCTAATAGAATCTGGACATCAGGCACGTTTTTCATTAAACATTTGGATGGGTATTGTAGGTGACAGGTTTCTAGGTCCTGTTGTTTTACCAAACCGATTAACAGGCGCTGCTTACCTCAACTTTCTGCAGAACACACTGTATGAGTTTTTGGAAGACATTCCTTTGAATCAGAGGCAACAAATGTGGTTCCAGCATGATGGTGCTCCAGCTCATTTTTCCATGGCCGTTAGAGAGCATTTACACCAAACTTTTCCACATAGATGGGTAGGAAGGGCCGGACCTGTTTTATGGCCTCCAAGATCGCCTGATCTGAACCCTCTAGATTTCTTTGTTTGGGGATATTTGAAGACATTAGTGTATGGTACTCCTGTAAATAGCCTGGAAGAGCTGCAGCTACGGATTAATCAAAAGTGTCAAGAAATCCAAACCAAGGAGGGTGTTTTCGAAAGAGTTCGAATATCGTTGAGACGAAGATGTCGTGCCTGCTTGGAAATGGACGGAGGGCACTTTGAACATCTTCTGTAACTTTGTTTTTTGTTTGTTAAAAGCTTCCTTTGTCGGTTTATTCCTAATAAAATAAAATGTTTGAAAAACGAATAGTGGTCCATATCTCCGCAACCGTTACTTTGCGGACCCATGTTTATTAAGACTTTTCTGCTTATTTTGGTTCATACTATTACCTCCTGAAATATTTTACACTCTTTTTTAACACCCTAACCACCCAGCTTATTTGAAGAGTGAGTCGAGGGGATACAAAGCAAAACAGCTGCAGTATTGGAAAGAGCACATATTGAAGAATTTTTTACTGAAAGAATATTTAATGATTAAGGTATCTCTTTACCTTTTACATGTTGTTAGGTATATAGGGAACTTATTTTAGTTTGCACTAATAATGGGTGTTTCTGGTGCCTGTCGATGCTGCGAATTGACAAACTTTAAAATTAGTGACGTACAGGACGTTGGCAGTTACCTACTTGTTTCAATACCTGACACCAAGAGGAGTATTTCAAGAAAATTTACAATTATGGAAGAAGGATTTTGCGTGAATGCTGTTGAAATATGCAGAAAATATATTTCTCTGCGCCCAATTCGCCTAACACAAGACAGATTCTTTTTAAGATACATCAATCAAAAATGTACTTCTCAGCCTGTTAGAATCAACACAGTGGCAAAGGTACCCTCAATAGTTCCTTCATTCCTGAATATCGCAAATCCAGATCGCATATACTGGCCATTATATGAGGCGCACTTTAACAACTTTATTGGCCAATAAAGGTGCTGATCTTACAACCATCAAAGGGCATGGCGGATGGAACAGCTCCTCTGTAGCAGAAAGTTATGTTGAAGAGTCTATATCTAACAAACTTGATATTGCAAGGAAAATCCAAGGAAAATTGTTCCTTACAAGAAGAGACATCCGTAACTTGTGCAAATTCTTCACAAACTTCGTTACGATACACATCTTGATCTATGTATGGGTATTTAAATGACAATTTTATAGTAGGCCGTTGTCAGACAGTTGACAGTTGTTAAGAATTCTTAATTTTATTGCCGTTAGTTTGGGTGTTTTTATACGCAAAACTACACTAACGCCAAAATGAGATCGATTGGTGATTTCGTATGTGATCTTGCTAAGGATAACTCTTCAGAAGCATCTCAAATTTCATCACACCTCCATACGACTACGTCAAACTGAAGTTTTCACTGGCTTCGGAAGGAGCAGCACTGAATTTGACTGATGACAAACCGGACACCAGGACCAAATAGTTGTTTTACAGCTAAATATCAATCACGTGACATGTGCAGTCTAGACCAGTGCTTAAGCCTTTAAAAATGGTAAAAAGTGAAAAAAAATTATAGTAGGATAAAACCCATTGGAAAAGGAAGAGAATATAACAGAAATTAAAGGAAAAATAATTATTTACGGACGATCTGAGGTCGGGACGGGGAAGGGGTGAGTTTTTAAGGGTAAAAAACGGTTTCCCTTGATTTCCGGAAAAACTACAAGTCTTATGGAAAAAAGTTAAATGGCAAAGTTGTAGGTAATAAAAAGATCTACAACTTTCGTATTTACACTTTTTTCACATAACCTCAAAATTTATGTGAAAAATTCAAATAACCAAGTTTTTGTTTTTTTATTTTTCTTTTACAAAAAAAAA